TCATTTAAAATGTTATACATATTTTTTTTTCTCAAGGCCGCGGTTTACCGCTTCGTGTCTGAACGAGATATGATATAACCAATTATTTAGTATTTCAAGTGAACTTATCTTTCAATGCTAAACTTCTTCTCAGTCATTCTCTATCTCTATCTCTGTATCTAGCCTACTATATTTTTTTCTAGTATCGGTTCCTCATGCAAATGGAAGGAACGTATTCATTTAATAATGTTTGTACAGCAATTTGTCCATATGGCTCCGAATAGTCTCATTGGACAACGCCCCCTATCGTCAGAGTCCAGCAGCCTAACATGTCAGCCTACTGACTTTTACCCCCCCGAAAAATCGTTAAAATTCATTTTTTGTTTAAACGAAAAGCACATCCACCCGACGTACGTTGACACTAGCTCTTTCATTGGAACCCTCATGTCCCATTGACTTTTGAAAGTTCACCCACCGTAATTTGATCAAAATAGGTTGCAAGCTCGCCATTGCCTATATAACACATGTGAAACAAGTCGAACTTTGGACTCAGTTTGGCAAGCGATTGTAATGTTTTAGGTCAAGCACACGAAGGATAAGAAGCATGAATTATAATAGATCAGTTCTGATCGGTTCATTATGTCCATTTCAACCAACCCCCACCGTAATTTTTCCATTGAAGATAAGCAAACATTTTGCCGAGGTAAGCAAAACATGAATATTCATTATCGCCATGGACTTTTCGATTATTTACAGAGGGGTGAATTGTGCACCACATCAAACTCCCCTACTTTAAGTCAAGTATTTCATTGTATTATGTAGTTTGGTAGGTTTATTTTAATAACTGTTTAATTATCAGATATCAATGATAGTTTAAAGGTATGGAAAATGTTCTTGTATTTTATATTTAGCAAAGCAATTTCACATACAAATTCACTACCAAGTGTCGTCTAATCCGCCGATTGCCGTCTGTTATATACGTCCAGCGAGCGAAAATGAGACAACTGGAGCAATATATTACTCTGTTATAATATTCAGAAATGAGAAATGTATTACACTTACGTCATTAAAACCATCGCGGTTAACCACGTCATAACATACAGAGGCAAAACCGCATGTTCTATACAAAAAAGACGCGGTTTCGCCTCTTCTTGTTCTGAACGAGCCTTTAGTGTGTTCTATATGCATCTTACATGCGGTATGGTAAGGTATTTATTCATCAACATATCGCAGCCAATGGCTGATTTGCATGCATGATTTACAGATATTTGGTTTAGATATATATATTTCTTTTAAATATAAAAGAACACATTATTATTACAATTCATTATAGAAAAAACTCAGTAAAACTCAAAAGGGAAGAGAGAAATAAAGGAAAAGTGTGGAGCAGGAAAATAAGGAGAAAAGGAAAGGATAGTTGAGGAAGAGAGAATAGAGAGAGGGGGAGAGGAGAAGGGAGAGAGAGAGAGAGAGAGAGAGAGCGAAAGAGAGAGGGAGAGAGAGAGAGAGAGGGGTGAAGAGGAACAAAGAGAGAGATGAACACGAACACATAGCTGTTATAATATAATACAAATTACAAAATTAAAATGTAATTGAAAAAAAGTTATTTCATCCAGGTTAGTGGGAATCCACTTCAAAGGAGTTGATTTACAAAACAGTAATTTTGAGGCAATTTTTAAACATGTGTATAATCATTACCGCATACCCAAAGAAACGTACTATTTTGAACCTGTAGATACATTATTAAGTGTAATCAACTAATCATACATGCTTGAAATATTTCTACTGACAACTCCACCCATAATTTCCCTTCTACGTACTTCAAATAAGGTCATCTTGCTGACAATGTTGAGAAATAATTCGTACTCTTGCCTGCTCGAATAGAATAAAAACTCCATGATTATGACTTCCACTGCTGAATTAATAACAAGAGCTGATGGAAATCAGCATAGACCTAGAGAAAGTACAAGGTCACGGGTTAAGAGCGATACAGTTCCATATGCGTAATACCGGTGGCCCTTACTCAGAATATGAGGCTCTTTTGTTGGAAAAATGGTTGCCTAGCGACATCAGAACGCATATTACCGAGAGACGGAATACAGTAATTGTCGATGGAGATCTGAAATTACTTTCCTACATTTCCGGCGGTCTGTGGTCTTCTATAATATTCTCAGTAGGGGGAGAGGGTGAGAGAGAGAGAGAGAGAGCGAGAGAGGAGAGAGAGAGAGAGGGAGAGAGAGGGGAGAGGGATAGAGAGAGAGAGATATATATAAGAGAAAGAGAAAGGGAGAGAGAGAGAAAGAGAGAAAGAAAGAAAAGGGGAAAGAGGAGCAATATCGGGTTTTCATGAATTCATGCGTTCGTATGGCGGTCCTTTCTGAATTATTTCATTTCATCACTGGTATTATCCCGTTTGAAAGAGAAGAAAGATTAATGGGCTGAAGAGTGAAGTAGAAGGAGGGCGATATTAATATACATGTTATTGTGAAATATTATCAAATTTGTAAAAGTTGTGTCTATATGAAGTTGATCTTGGAGGAAATATTTTTAAAAAGATCTGCAGTAAGCTTTAATTGTATAAGAGCATTAAAATAGAAAATATAAAGCTGTAAGAGAATTTCTCATCTTTTGCTGAAAGGGATCTTTGATAATAAATCCATATAGTCTCAAAATATACTGTTTTTAACAATTGTTATAGATGAAAAGAACATTGATTTTGGAACATATGAATCTTTTAGTCGCTGATCAAATATATTGAATCAAAGGGGTAGCAGCAAGGAAAGGTGTCCCTGCCAAATTCACTGAGATGCATTATTGTTACGAAACAATCTATTCATTACTCTGTTATATTGATTATGGGCCTTGGCAAGAGTGAATATCGATTAAAAATCAAAACGCGTAGAGGAAAAGCCAACCTTAATAGACAAGTAATCTAAAAGAAAACAGAGAAGCAGACTGGTGAAAACGACATCGGACAAAAATACGAAAGTTATGAATGTTTGAAATTTAATCACTATTCGTATGGGCTTTTCAATTGGCTGAATCGGTTATGTCACTGTGACGTATAGTTCCGGGAACTGTCCCATTGGTTTCAACGGAATCACTGAAATGTCAATTTTACCAACGAATTGACTCACTGAGGAGGTTTTTTTTTTCAAGGGCCTATAATGATATTCTGAATAGCGCCCCAAGGTAGAAGGCACTTAGGAGAAAAGGAAAATTTATTATATTTTTGTGCGCGAAAAACGGGGGAGTTGCCCATGACTACGTCTCAATTCACTGACCAAATCGCCAATTAGAGATTCGAATAGATTTAATGAACTCATGTTTTAGATTTTAATAACTTTCTTATCACTGCGTATTATTGGTCCGATTTACTTTAACTTTCGGCATTCTTTTTCCTTGATTTTTCTGCTTTTATTCACATTAAAATGTGAAGAAAAACACATTTGGTCTAAGAAGTTTAACTATACGTTATGTAATGGGCACACAAATATTGACTTGTTTCAATGCGACTATACTTGGATTCTACAAAAAAAATGGAATCTAAAATAATGTATGGTTTATACCTTTACCACAAATATATACACAATACTCCTTTTAATTGTCAATAATATATTATAAATATTATGGTATGCTCAATATCATAATACTAGAACTATTACTAACTATGTGACCGCTATAACTTGTTAAACCTTCCAAAAATTGCTGATCTTTTCACTATACAATCTCAGATCTAAAGTACAAAGAGCTAAAGATTAAAGCTGAATTAGACTGTACATTTTGAATTTTTAGAGTCTCTAACAAGTATACCGAACAGAAATTATACATCGTTTGTTATGCTTGTAATTCTTACATGCATTACTTTACTCCTTAACAAATTGATTCAACCTCTGTTACTTAAAGGCGGTTAATTCCTGTTTATTAAAAAGTAATCTTTGATGGTCAAAATCTAAGATAAAAGTGGAAAGAAAAAGAACAAGAAAATACTACAAAGAATTATGAAGTTACAAAATGAATTTCTGTATAAACGTCTCATCTATAACTACGACGCTGTAACAATAGTTCATGAACTATTATTCTTTCTTTTTATATATAAGGGAGGGTTAGAATTTCTATTCGAAGGCTATTGATGGACTCGTTGCTAGGATATAAGTGCCTACACAAAAATATAAAAAATTATTTATAAATGTCATGTCCTACAATGATTTCAGTTAATACATACAATATACAATAATACATAATGAACAAATCACTATCATTGTATGAGCTATCAAAGTAACGAAATCATCTTTATAGACCACTTACAAAGAATCTTGCGCTACGATTGGTCAAAAGTAAATCACGTGATGAAAGATAGTTCGCCCATCATTGATGGGAGAAGAAAAGTTCGTTGAACTGTGTAGAAAGTAGTACTATCTGCACAGACAGTGCAACGCACTTTCACGGAAAATAGTAGTACTATCTACATAGTGCAACGCACTTTCTTGTATGCGTTGCGTATACGTATACGGACATACTGCATGTACTATACGTATCGTACACCGTTTGCTATTAATTGATGTTGTGTTGCTCTAAAATGACGGAAGAAGTGAAATGTTTCCGATGTGGAATATAAAGCAAATACTCACCTTTTGGTTTCAGACGATTATCTGATGTAATACGCTATCTTTCCTCAGCTTCGCTTCGGAAAGATAGCTACATCTAGATCGCCTCGGAAGTGGTGGTAGTTTGTCCCATCACCTTAACCAAAGGTAATTACTTGCTTACTATCCTCTCGGCCATTATCAAGTACTACGAAGAGCTTTAATAGTCAATGTATACCAACGAGGAGTACGCAAACAAAATTCCCCAATTTACTATAAAGAACTAATGTTTTTGCTTATCATAGTTCAATATGTATCATGTAAGTATTGACCATACGGAATATCTTACACAGCGTATGGACAGCAAAATCCAGGAATCCGAATCACGTGTAATTACAGAATGACAAAAACTGTCTCGACACGGTTACAGGCTGTTCACAACTCTACTTCTGCCGGCTGGAAATCCTCAAACTTTTCCTCTTCTCGTTTCAAAGATGGACTATCCAGGATCCCTATCTTATCGAAGTTGTATCTTGTCTTCGGGTTCTCTTTGCCTTCGTAGCGGCTCTCCCGAATCACGAGCATCTGCGTCTGTAAACTGAGACGATGGGCTAGTGGCGGCTTGAATGCACATCGAGTATTGATGATCCTACGTAGCGGCGTCGGGGGCAACGCCTCGCTCATCGAGATCGTATCCTCCTCTTCTAATTCGTCGTCATAGTCTTCGGCGTCGTCGCTGTCGTCACTCCAGCTTCTCTCGAGGAGGCTTTGGCGGCTGGGGCTGTCGTGGATGGTCGTGGAGGCTAGGAGATCGAGTTTAGTCTTGCTGGCGGCCTTGTCGCGTTTGAAAAGCTCGAAGGCTGTTTTATACATTTCGGTTATTGTGCTCGCTATCTCCAGGGCCTGATCGTCTTTGGTGCAAGCTGCGACGTGGACCCTCAATGAAACCTGCAGGAAAGCAAAGAGCAAATAGTTAATAGGGCAATTCCACGGAAATCATAAAAGTGGCAATAACTCAAGAGTCCAGAAATATAGGAGGGCGATGACTGAGTGGTAGAGTAGTGGTCTCGTAAAACCGGAAGTTCCCTTGTTTTAAGCCAAGTCGATGCGCTGGGCCCAGTGTCGCCCATTAGAAAGCATATTTTGTTATTCTGTACAGAATTGTTAATATTTGCCGGTTTCATTTCAGACTGAAACAATGCTTCAACCTCAGTTCTGCTGAACGACGTTCCGTTATCCATGTACCAAGGAAACATGTAACCTCTTAGTTAAACGTCGTTCAGACGAGATTAAATCTACTTATTACACAGCTATACAATAATAGTATAGTTATATGATGAATATTGCCAATCTGAATAGTGTGGTGGATTATTTTCTTTGCACAAATAAAGCTGGGAGCAAATATCAGCGGAGCATTAAGCCAGATCATCGCTCATACCCTTGTATTTTGTTGCCATCACGTTTCTTAATTAAAAAACTAGACATCAGAGGCGTATTCAGTTTTCTGGCAGGAAGAGGGGAGTGGGAGGGGAAGGGGAGGATGTGGGGGGGGGGGGTGTCACAACTCCGAAACTTCAGTGACAAGGAACTATAAAAAAAAAAAAAAAAAAAAAAAAAAAAACCGATGTTTCTTGTATTCTTTTATTTACTTCTTATACCCCCCCCCCCCCTCTCTGTCCGTCATTTGGCATGTACGGATTGTTTTGTGCATGTCTTCCCGAACACGCTGAAGAAAAAACATACCAGATTATTAGAAAGAGATGTTGGAATAAGAGATCAGAAAAAGATAATCATTCGAATTACAGTTTCAAATCCATGAGATTGCACGAAATCCTCAGTGGTAAGACACAAAGCCAACCCTCGTTACTGAGTAGCATTGCAGAATTCAAAATCCTCTCTCGCGGTCCAGATTGAAGGTATTATAGTCTGCCACGTAGAATAACATGAATAGTGATTGGATAGAGAGACATGCAGAGAGACAGACAGACAGACAAAGAGGGAGAGAGAGAGAGAGAGAGAGAGAGAGAGAGAGAGAGGTTGGTGGGACATAAGGGCGACAACATATATAAAGCAATGGTTATGATGATGTGGTGAAAGGGAAAGACAGAGACAGAGAGAGACAGACAGAGAGAGAATGGATGGTGAGAGAGATCTACGAAGAGAGAAAGGGAAATGTATTGAGACAGAGAGAAAATGGTAAGAGAAACAGAGAGAGAGAGAGAGAGAGAGAGAGGAGCACAAGATAGAGGAAGAAAGTAAAGGAGTATAAAGGTGAGATAGCAAGAGGATTAGAGAGAGAGAGAGAGAGAAGAGAGAGACAACGAAGGGGATGTGTTATAAGAAAGGCGGGGGAGAAGAATGAGATAAAATATTGTTTTTTTCAAAGTTATTTGAAGACGACCTCCGTTTGAGGGATGTGAAAAAAAAATAGTTTCCAAATATAATCTAGCCTTTTGGTTTTGTTAAATCTTGGAGAATCTGATTAAATCAGGAAGTTTTACTGTTTGACAGCTTAAAGTTAAGCATTGGTTTTGAGAGACACAGATCAGTTTCGTAATGTTAAGCCTATGTATTCAGACCTAACCACACGTTTTTCTTTGTATTAAGATATCAGATTTTCTGCATTGTGTTTTTTTTCTTCACAATAGATATTCAGACGTAGCCACAAGATGTGTATTAAGATATCAGATTATCAGCATTGTGTTATTTTTTTCGCAGTAGCGGTAATCTATATTTCAACCACTAAATGGTATACATGCCATTTCAATTACGTACATTGACATTCTTACATTTCAAAATAAACTTAAGATCGGGGAAACATATAAAATCGGATGTCTGAAGTACCTTTACAATGTGATCTAATCGCTGTATGATCATAATCGATGTCTTATTTACATACAATTGCATTAATTGCGTAGTGAATGACGCCGCGTGTGCAATGGGCACTTTGCTCCTTGTACACGAGGCGTTATTTGCTGACGTAGGACTGCGTCAGTGACTTGCGCGGCCTTGTTATGCCGTTGGATAGTGACATGGTACATTATTAGGGAAAACATTGTCTTTCCATCACTGGCGCATCCACTAATTTTCTTTAAAGGTCGGGTGACATCTAAATATAAGTTGATTCCCGTTGATGTGCAGGGCTGCATACAACTCTTGATTTGTTATTCAAAGATATAAATATATTTCATAGATTTTCAAATATTTTTTAAAATAATTTTCTCAGACCTGCTAAGCTCGACCCTAAAAAAATGCTCCAGATCTCATTTATCTTGTGACATCATCTGTCAATTATCAGTGAGTTAACAAGTCTAGAGGCAGTGGTATGTAACTTCCCCCGGCTCAGCACATGCTCACAACATTCTGCATTCTTTGATGGGTCTACCACTACGTATGATCCGTTGTGACCGGGGCTTAACTGGCACACGCATATCAATTCCCTTAATAGGTTTGATAAGCGCAGGTAATGACGCAGTCTAAACAGGGACTTTTATATTTGCACGTCGACATAGTGGACTGCTACGTGTGAAGTCCTTTTTAAGGCACTGACAGTGGACGTAGTAGTCCACTATATGGATTTGCAAATCTAAAATCCCTAATAACGCCTCGTGTACACTATTAACGGGCACAATAAAGGAACTTACCTGCAGCCTAGGGAGTTCGTGACGGTAGATCCAGGCAAACACCGTGGGATGCTGGCTGTCCGTTCTGCAACAATTGATCCGATGAAGATGGAAGAACTGCTCCCTGTCTCCTTTCCTCTCTCCGCTGCTCGACACACCTCCTGCTCTTACAAGTCGCATTCCCTTCGTTCCCAGGTACATTTTTGCCTGTAAATTAAAGAAAATACATGCGCTAACTATAACTGAAAATGTATCCGCATAATAGGCCTACATATTACATCATTATGATTGTCAAAGATGAAGTCGAGTTCTGATAATGCAATTGAATTGTGAAAGAAACTGTGTGAAGCGATTAGAAAAGGTTGATCCAAGTACTGTAGCACATAAATATTTGTGCATTTTCCGTGTAAGAAAATTCCCTCGGTGACCAAAACAATTGATAACTTAACTCTTTTTATGTCTATTTTATGTCTATTTTCTTTTTACCCCACATTACTCAGCCATGAAGGACATAAACTCCATATATTATCACACGTTCGTTTTGCTTTTCCTTCAGCTCTCCCCTCGCTCTAACCTAATTTGTTTTTTTATTTCGTCACTGCTGATGATAATTTCCATGGGAAAATGTGATGATGATCATGATCATGATATTACCATTATTATTATAATCCTTATAATCAGTATTCTTATAATTATAATCATTGTTCTAATTCTTATTATTTTTATTATTAATATCATTAATATTTGTATTCCATCGTTATTATCATAATAATCATTATATTCATCATCACTATACTGCTACTACTACTATTAATACTACCACTACTACTACTTCTACTCGTACTTCTCCTACTTCTACTACTACTGCTGTTGCTGCTGCTGCTACTTACTACTACTACTACTACTACTACTACTACTACTACTACTGCTGCTACAGTTGACGGTGTTTTACTTACCTTGACGTATCTCTCTCCACATTCTGTATTCTTCCAGATCTTCCTGATGGGGTAATCACAGCAAGATTTACCCCGGGACCCCAGGGTCCGCATGCTTCCAAGGTACCGTAGAGTATACTCCGTGTCCTTAGGTGTAACGATAAACCTCTGTTGGCGCCACTTAAAAACGTCCGGAATTATCGACATGTTGCCGTATCTTGTTAAAAAGTTAAAGCTAAAAAAAACAGTGATCTAAAAAATTGGAAACGGTTGGGTTTTATTCGTTTCAGATGAATCAAGATTTCATGCTAGCTGGCGTCGTAAAACTCGTAAAGAAACAATAAATCAAAATTACAGATCGTTGTTAGCAGACAACCGGATATTCTGAAGATTGAACACTGTTATCTCTGATTCAGCTATCGCATCTGGATGCTGGCAGAAAGTTACTTCACAGTCTATTTAACATGTTTAATTGGATAATGTCGTAAGTATTCAAGTCCAGTGGTGTCGACGAATAGTTTTGAAGGTAATTCGTTGGTAAAGCAATAAGCGATGAGGTTCGTTATAAGAGCTGTAAACAAGATCTATCGATTATTAGTTCTGAGCGCAAAACCACGAAATCAGCTTCGAACAAGATGACGGAAACCGCTGTCTCGATGTTAAAACCACCTTCTGTCTCCGCTGAAAAGATGATACTGCATGGGCGGCTTTTGGATTCTGCTCCGTTGCTTTTCATTCATAGGCTCGACTGAAAAGATGCAAGACAGTAATGTGATTTAAAAGTGAGCGAGAGAGAGAGAGAGAGAGAGAAAGAAAGGATGACGTAGAGACTGGTTGGGAGAGATGAAGGGAAGGGAGATAACGAGAGAGAGAGAGAAAGAGGGGGAATACGGAGAGAGAGAGAGAGAGAGAGAGAGAGAGAAAGAGAGAGAGAGAAAGATAGAGAGAGGAGAAGATACAGAGGGATATAGAGGCAGACAGAGAGGAAAAGAGAGGGGAAGGGTGAAAGAGAAAAAGTAAGAGAGTGAGGGGATCTAGAAGAGAGAGAGTGGGGGAGGGAGAGAGAGAGAGAGAGAGAGAGAGAGAGAGAGCTATATAGGTAAAGTGTTAGAGATTCATATTCAGATTATTTGTTCTGATCTTTATTTCAAAAACACAGGAAATTGGCCTCCGGTGGCATAACAAAAGAGAGAGTGGGGGGGGGGACGGACGGAAAGGTAGGGAGCGAGAAGAGAGAGAAGTGGAGCGAGAAAGAGAAATGATGAGAGAGGGAGACGGGGAAGGAGAGGGCGAGAGGGAAAGACAATAAAAAGAGAGAGGGAGATGGGTGAAGACAGACAGGGAGAGAGAGAAGAGATGGTGAGAAAGATGGGGAGGGACGGAGATAAAGTTGGGAGGGAAAAGCAATGATGGGGGGGGGGGTGAAGAATAGAGAAATGGAGGGAAACGATGAGGCAGAGGGAGGAAGAGGACGATGGGGAAAGAAAAAAACATCAACAATATCCTCCTACAAGATCGGCGGACTGATAATGGCAGCGGTTCTGTATGATGAGAGGTTTGGTTTGGCACCAGCCAATAGGAGGGGAGATGCACTCGATAAGATTACATAAGGAAAAGATAGGAAAGGAGATGGCGCCATTATCATGATTTTGAATCGCAAATGAAGGCGTACAGTTTAAGGCGAAGGTTTTATTTATTTATTTATTTATAACACATCTTTAAAAGAAGGGTAGCCCAATCAGCAAACAAATACTGGTTTTCAGGTTGAGTACCAAATAACATGATAAAGGTGAAAAATGGTATCTGAGCTCTCTCCTTCTCATTATGTGCAAGGATCTTTAGTAGTACTGTCATATCAAATTTAATTAAAGGGACCGTTGAGTTCTTGTTTAAGACCGCAAATGCCTTCAAAATGCATGGTTATTGCTCTTATTCTTATTTCTTACCAACACGAAAAAGCCAACATTGGCTGACATAAAACGTTTCAGGCGCTATCTCGTTTTTTCAACGACTGGTTCAAAATTATCGAATATTGTTTTGTGGACGGGGGTGGGGGGAAGTAATATTCCACCAATTTCTCACTGATAATTTTATATTATTTAGCCGAATCAATTTGATTTCTTCTCATGCAAATATCATCAGAAGCAATTTCTATAATCATATTGAGTAGGCCCTCCTCTTTGTGAAGTGAACTTCGCGTATTTCTTTGCGAACTTTGGATTTCGAAAGGAAAAATAAACAAAAAATGATAGCATTTGGTATCTCTTTTTCTAGGTGACTTCATAAATTACTACATACTCAAATCTGAAGGAAAAATTGATAAACATTGGACCTTAACCTCGTGTAAGCGCATTTCTGGCAAGATCCCTCGTGATCTGTCTCTAGTTTTTTCGCATGATAAGAATGGATATGACTGAACATGTAATTGTGAACAGTTGTTTATTCATTCTTTTACACGGGCAAAAAGCAAACAACACTTTTCTCTTTTTTGATCATGTTGATTAATAATATACGGTGCTAGTAAGATAAAAATTGAAGGCGCCAATGCAATTTCTCAATAATACTGGGTTGAAAATTAAATCAAGACGGCTCAAAATTGTGTGACTCCTCACTGGAAGTCTATGGAACGGAAAATTGTTGGGGAAAACATTTTTTATTCCACGGGGATTGATATTATACAAAATTCTGGAATCGTAGATCGACGGTCCTTTTAATCTGATATACGTTGGTGATGGTTTCAGAAAAACACCCATTGAAGTTGAAATGCATGTTTCTATTAAAAGAACCTCGCGTCTTATTTTTCCGCTTCGATTCCCTTCCTCGGAATTTGTTGCAAGTCGGTTCTCTTATAATCAAATTCGATCTATAGTGCACTTTAATCAATTTCACTGAAGTCTTCAAATGCACGTAGGAATTGTTCCCTTGTTTGAGTTTTGGTTATTACATTTGCCTTGCAACAGCTTGTCTTCCTTTTTATTTTCCTTTTTTATTTATATTTTTTTTTACTTAGTTTGTATGGACACTTACTTTAGAAAGATTAAGCATTTTACTCAAACAAGCACAAAGACGGTCATTGGCGCTGCTAAGCGGGAGCTGGAGAACTTGCCCATACAAATATGAAATTTCCCCAAGGTTCCCCCGGGGACTGTTCTAGAAGAATGAGGGGGGGGGGGGGCTTTCAGGTTCATTTATTTTTAACATTTACGCCATACTCGGGTGCAGTACAGTATACCTTCACTTCAAGCAGGATAAATACACAATTGCAGCCTGGAACAAAGACTATGTCGCTACGGTGGATGCGACCTTATTATTCATCAACTAACAGATAAACATCACACACAAGAGCAGAATAGCGATTTCGTGCATGGAAAAATGTTATTAGTTGATTCTTTTCCCTGATTAAAATGGCAGATGTGTGTATTAAATACGAATTATTATGATCGCAAAGGATAAGAATTAGTTAGCTATGTTTTGAGATGTAAAAAACTAGATCATTGCAGTTATTATGTGTGTTGATCTCATATAATTAGGGTGGGTTGAAGTTTATTAGAGCATCACAAGAAAATTAGTAATACGGTGAAGATACGGGGATAACAATTTATTTGAATAATGTTTGATTAGCATTAGACGAAGGACAAGGCCTAAAATGACACCAACCCTAATACACAAAGTGTTAGATACAGCACAGTTTGATCACAGGTGGAAAGGAACTGGAAAACAAGTGGCCTGGAGGGTCGTTCGACACATACTCCTTCGACCATTCCTTCGTAGACAATATCTTAACGCGGAGTGAATTTCTAACTTTAATCCTGGACAAAACACGACAACCCAATAGCCCGAATCTAAATCACAACTGGATCCCTAACCCTTACCCTAACCCTAATCAGGCGCGTACGCAGGGGGGGGGTTTTGGGGGGTTAAACCCCCCCCCCCTTTGGAAATTTTTTGTGTGTAAACCCCCCTAAAAAAAACCTAAAACCCCCCCCCCCCCCCCCCCCCCCCCCCCCCCCCCTTTTGGATTTTTTTTTTTTTTTTTTTTTTTTTTTTTTTTTTTAATTATTAAAAAAAAAAAAAAAAAAAAAATTATTCCCATGGCCGACCTAAAAAAGGTGACCTTACCCCCCCCCCAACGGAGCAAAATGTCAAATTTCCAAATTTCGAGACCAAAAAAAAAAAAAAAAGTGTCCTCTTACCCCCCCCCCCCCCCCCCCCCCCCCCCCCCCCCCCCCCCCCCCCCCCCCCCCCCCCCCCTTATTCAGCGGTCGGCTGAGTCGTTGCGATTTTTTTGGGACCAAAAAAAAAAAAGATGTGTCCTTACCCCCCCCCCCCCCCCCCCCCCCCCCCCCCCCCCCCCCCCCCCCCCCCCCCCCCCCCCCCCCCCCCCGCTTATTCAGCGGCTGGCTGAGTCGTTGCGAAATTTTCGGACCGATTTATAAATGTTAAAACCCCCCCCTTGAAAAAATCCTGCGTACGCGCCTGACCCTAATAGTAAAACCATAAACCGATATGTCTATATGACGAAAAAAAAAGGTAGAGACCCTCTGCGAATCAGATACTGTCGACAAATCCGCCAGGCAAATTTCGCAGGATAGCCGTTTATCCCATTCGGTTTTGAGATCCAGGACCAAATTCGCCGAGGACCTGTTTTGGAGTCACACCAGCATCAAAACAATAACTACCCCTGATGGAAAACTAATTACGCCAAAAATATATCTAACATGTTCTTTTTTGATAGAATTTAGGCAAAATAAACAGAGCAATTTTTTACATTACCTAAAAGGAGCATTTAAAAGAAACATTCTTCTTGTATCTGATTTATCTAAAAAAAAAAAAAAAACGTTCATAGAAGATTTTGTTGTAATTAGATTTACTAAGAATAGATGTGATATCAATATTAAGCTCGATCAATGTATATAAAATGACAATTTAATGAAAGATCTTGAAAGGTTGACGAATGATTTTAAATGCATTTAATCCTGAAAAAAAATCTGGATTTATATAGCGGCTTATACAGGAAACGATGTCTCTAATATATATTTTATAACATTAAATTAAATGACTAAATTGTTCTTACCTGGTATGTCTAGAGCAGGAGAGTTTATGTCTTCCGATGATGCAAACTTGATGAATGAAAAAAAAATATCCTTGAGATGTATAGATGAGATGTCGTCCCTCTCAGACATCACGAACCATTAATGACGGTGAAATCGTCTCGACTCCCG